GAATTAGAGCAGCATATACCGGAACTTCAAGAAGCACAGCTTGGAGACAGAAAAAAGAAAAAGAAAGTTTAGAAAATTAGATTAAAATTAAATATAAATAATCAAAATAATTAAGGTATTAAATAATCAAAATAATTAAAAATTATCAACTAAACAAATAAAAGAAAAAATTGCTAATAGCTAAAAATAAATAAATTATTAAAATTGTTAAATATAATAATAATAAGAAATAAAAAAAAAATGACTTTTTAAATATATTAAATCTAATAAAAGGAAAAAAAACTTTTAATAAATAAATAAAAAAATAAAAAAATTAAAAAAATTGTAAATCCTATTAAGAAATGAAAATTTCTAAGTTTACATAAGATGTATATATCCGTATCATGTGACATATGGAGGCTAAAGGAAATCTGAAAATTTTCATTAATTTAATTTCTAAGCTAATTTTGAACACATGACTGTGATCAGTCAAGTGGACCAATAAAAAAAATTTCTATCAAAATTTAGATTTCCCCCTTTTCTAATGACTAGACCCCATAAATTTATCACCGGTGTCACACCCCTCCATCTTTAATTTGTTCTAATTATTTCAGGAACTTTGAATTTTTTCGGTGAAAAATCATATTCATCACACATTATCCGTCACAATGTTGGTAAAAGTACTTTTCAAATAGAAATCGCCTAAAAAAATATATATATATTATTTAAATATTGACTTGTATCTGAAATTCAGATATATTCTAATCCTTAAATTTTATTTGATATAATTTAACTGAAATTTAAATTTGTCACACAAAAGTTGACGAATCTAATCATTCATTGTTCTTTTTTTTTTTTAACAAATAAATATTTACAAATCGTAGATCGATCATTTTAAAAAATAAAGTAAAATTAGAATCAATTGAATTTTTCATAATGTAAAAACTATATATATTATTAAAAGATTGATATAGAAAAATAAATACTAAGAAAACCTGAAAATTGATATAGAACCGTTCGGAGCTTTAGTTTTAATTCAATATCATTTTCTTTAGCAGAATCAATTAAGCTTAAAATAACTGTTTATAAAGCTGGAATGTCGTATTCATTAATAGTAATTTCTTTTGCTCTTAATTCTCAAGTTAAAAGCATTAATTGTGATTTATAGTGTAAACCATTAAAAGATTGTTAATTGTTCAAACCTTTCTTTTTTTTCACAACACCAATAACCATTCCCTTTTATTTATGGTTAACTGAAGTATTAAACAATTCGTCATAATTTTCCGCAGTTAAGTGCTAAGGGGCGCAGTAATTTGATGACATTAGTTTATTCGGGAATATAATTTTATTGGGGAATTAGAGTCGATATATACTTAGTCGAGTATTATTACAATAATTAAATAAAAAAGATATTAAAATAGTTTTCTTAATTATGACCTGATTTATTTATGTAAAGTTTACATACTATATTTTAAGCAAAACTATAATACATCAGAAAAACAAAATAAATAATACCACATAAAATATTCGTAAATAACCAGATTGAGAATGTTGTTTAAAATTACTAGCAACTTCATGGTTATATACATTTTAGCTACAGTTGGACATTTTGGGACAGGTGTGACACTTATTCATATGTTCATACTTTGTCCAAAATATTTAAAATCAAAAAATATGTCCAAAACCCATCACCGATTCAAAGATACTGATATGATCGTATCCAATACATCGTCCGTGCCACGTATGTATTGTCACGATGATAATTCACAATTTATATTTAATTTTGTATTAAAGTGAGCGCTCTTCCAATAGATCAAAGCTTGTAATAAGTTCAGCGTTTGCTAAAAGCACTAGTCTCAACATTTAAATTGAACCAGTCACAGCTTTATAATATTTTTTTCATAAGTTGAAGGAACTTGTGGACTTCAAAATAATTTGGGATCGAGCATGGTCAACATTTTATATGCGTCCGTAATGTTTAGTTTCCGATACTTACTTTCTACCCATTGAATGTTAATTAAGGTATGGTATGTTGCTTCAAATTCTAAGGAAAAAGCTAATAGACTGAAAATGTTCCATCAGAATTGGAACCCCTCGTTTAGAAAAGGATTAGAAGGACGAAGTTCCCAAGAAATGTTTAAATTTGTATTAAATGATTGATAATGTCAAAATTTGTAATAGGTCCGGTGAATCTTTACGAACTTGTGGAAATCATCCATTTCAAAAAGTATTATAAAGTTGATACATAGCTCATTAACATTTATTTGGATTAAGGTTTTTAACTGATTGGAAACCTATTGAATTAGTTTGAAAAATTGTAAAGTTCCAACCATAACGTCAATGGATGAAGAAATATTTATTCCCTATATGGTCGTTTGCTATTAAAATCCAGTTACGAGACAAAGTAACAAAGTTAGACAGCAAACCTCCCACATGTTTTGTTCAACATTTTTTTTTAATGGAAAATAAAAAATAATCATTTAAATAATTTTTAGGACTTGAAGTTCAATTAATGACTGAACTTTCGACTACACCAATTTTTCCCTAGACGATGTTGTCTTAGTAACGAATTATACTATTATGATTGTCAGACTTTAATGATTTGATGTTACAGACGTGTAATTTTTATTCGCAATGGGAGAAGATTCAGATCATTCTAACACATCTCATTTAAGTTACACAGCTCCTTAAAATTTAAAGTTTGTTTAATTAATTTTATGATTACTACACAATATCCTTTATGATTGAAAGGAAAAAAAAGGGGGAGGGGATAACCGGAAATAATAAAGATAATAAAACGCAAGTTGGCGTAATATAGTGTTATATTTCGTGCATGAAAATTTTTTGTGAAAACATCTCATATTAAGAAACGACTTTTATGGTAAAATGTTATTCAATTTCCTTTTTTAAATGTTTCATTTATTTTTGCAGTCTGCACATCCAAACTTTACATTTCCGTGTTAATTATATTTATTATCTTTAAGGTGCGTTTTATTTGTCTGAAGGATAAATACAATATAGGAAAGAAAAAAAAAAAATAATCATGCAAATTTATGTATTTAATGTATCTTTGTCCTAAAATATTCTCTCGTGAAAGTATCTGAAAAGTTTATAAATTTCACCGTTTTTCGAGCGAAAAAAAAAAAAAAATAAAACACTTGCTCTAAAACATTATCCCAAAAACAACAACAAAAAAAAAAAAAAAATAATAATATTTTAATCGAAATGAAATTCTTCGCCACATTAGCTTTAGTTCTCTCATGTTCCATTGTTGCCTTGGCACAAAACAAAGCTACACGAAGAGCAAACGCAGATAAAGCAGAAGCTTTATTTGAAGAATTTAAAACTTTTACGGTTGATACCCCATGTGAAGCAAATGATCAAGCTTGTATAGATGGTGCGTTTGCTAAATGCTTTACCACTCTAAACGATGCAGGTGAACCAGTAAACGTTTGGAGCCTTAACGAATGTAATACCGGTTTGACTTGTTGTCCACTTCCTTTGGTAAATTCTCCAGGAGTTTCTTTGGTTTGCAGTAAGTATTTATTAATGAAGTTTTTTTAAGAAAGTAAACCTATCGTTGTTATAAATATTAACTTGAATTGCTTCCTTTAAATAAAAATAGCAACCGAACAAGATCGTTTGGACCGAATTGCTCAGGCTCGTGCCTAATTAAATATTTATAATTCTCATTTATTATTTAATATTTACTGTAATTAGATTAGAATATCATTTTGTATTATCATGATGGAAGATAATTTTTAATTTATAATCCATTAGATATGAAAATTTGAATTAAAATAAATAAATAAATAAATAAAGCGATCGAATAATATTCAATTGTTCTCTCATTTATGTATAGTGCCAACCCTTCAATGAATGAACGGTCAATATTTATTAAATCATTTTGTTAATTCCGTTTAACTACATCATTTTTTCTTTCTTTATTCTCTTCTTTTTGAATTTTTTTTTCTTTATACAAATTCCTTTGTCTCGCAAATCATTTTCGGCTTGTACCTCCGCAGTACCAGATGACTTGTCTTTTAAATGATTCATTTCATTTTTGTTATTCATATATTTTTATTATACATAACGGACTAAGTCAATACTCAATTTAACGAACTAAACTTAATGCATTTTAATCTACTAACATTAAATTCATTCTCTCTGCATTTATGTATATTATTAAAATTACAATAATAAATAAAATGTCCTTTATTAAATTTTTTGTTTCATGTATGGACGGGATTCTTTAACAACGTCTTGAATGTATTACATTGATTTTGATAAAAAAAAATTTTTCGAAAGATTTATTGGTTATTTGGCATTCGAACCGGTTTAAACCGGTTTAAACAATGTTTTGAAATGTCACATTCTTTACCCCTACATTAAAATATTCCCACATCTAATTCACAATCAATTTTACAAATTTATTTTATAATAGTAATTCTTGGTTTAGTTAACAATTAAATAAAAAAAAAAAAAAAAAAATCCGAAAGTTAAAAAAATAAAAATAAAATAAAATAATAACGAGAACAAAGCTGTATATACATTAGGTAATATTATTATATATAATATATGAGTGAAACTTAAGAAAGTTATCATGACACCAATCAAACTTCAACAGTCCCTAAAGCTTTTTTTCGTCTGCACAGTAGCGTAGCACCATCTAAGCTTAACTCAAAAGCCATACGTCTAGGTATTTCCTTACGTTTGGATGATGATGTAGATTGCATGAATGTAACTTTTGAACCAGTTTTCATTTTAATGGGTTCATTTGAAGCATGATTTGTTGCTGTTTCACTTATTGGCACTTGATGAATCGATGAAGATGCCGTTGAGGTATCTTCTCCGTCGTCGTCACCTTCATCATTCAAAGTTAATCTGCCTTTAAATGGGTTCAAAGCTAAGCTCTTTCCTCCATGTCCACTCATTTTCATTTTTCTTTTTTTCGCAGTCTCCTCTTCCATACGATGTACGGCATAAGTAACTTCAAGCGCTTCCTTAAGGGAAATACCGGGTGAAAGTATATCTTTACGTCTGAAATTCTCAACGGGTGTTTGTAACATTTCTTCATATATAAGAGGCGAATCAACGCTAGTGTAACGTTGCCTAACTTCGGCTTTATTCTTATTGTCAGTTGGTGCAAGATTGGATTTCGGAAGAAATGGCTGTTCATTTTACAAAATCATTAATAAAGTAATTTTTAAAGTAACGTATGATTTTTCTAAATAGGGTTACCTCATCCTTAATCCACGGATGTTCGAAAAATTGATTTATGGTATAACGTTTCTCAGGATCAACCGCAAGAAGATTTGATATCAAATCTTTGGCTATTAAAAGTTATAATGTAATAATCTTGAATACAAAATATTTTTATATAAGATCATTAGAATTTAAATTTTAATAACTTACATGAAGCGGAGATATCATCCCACCATGGACTTAAGAAAGTATATTGACCTTTGACAACTTTGTCGGTCAAGTCATTAATGCTTTCATCGTAGAAAGGCGGAAAACCACACAGCATTGTATATAAGACACAACCAAGCGCCCACATATCAACACTTTTACTATACCTTTCATCTTTTACAATTTCGGGAGCAGTATATCCAACTGTACCACACGGAGTCATTGTCTGCTCGTCCCAAACAATTTTAGATAAACCGAAATCGGCGATTTTGATCTTTCCAATACCGCCACCACCTAATCCAGGAATAAATTCGCCCTCATCCTCTTTAAATTCGTCATTTGGGCCAGGAACTTTTGGATTTTTCGAAGGAATAAATGTGATGGGCTCGAATAAAAGATTTTCAGGTTTGATGTCCCTAACAAATTTTTTTTTTTAATATGTAAACTCGTTCCCCAATTCTAAAATTTATAAAGTTTAGAAATTATCCTACCTATGGACAACTCCTTTTTCTTCATGCAAATATCTTATTCCTTCGGCAACTTGAACAATAACATGACGTGATAAATTTTCCGAGAAATAGGTAAGTTTCACTATTTGATGGAATAGTTCGCCACCTTCCATTAATTCGAGAACCAGATAATAATAATCCGGAGATTCCGAAAAAGACAATAGAGATACGATCGATGGATGCTTCAATTGGCGCATTATTTGGACTTCTTTGATGATGTTCGACCGCTAAAGTAAATATAAGGGGTATAAAAATCATGTAAGTTGCATATTCGAAAATCCTTTCAAGAAATTCAGCAGGTTGAAGTTCATTTACGAACATCTTTCAACAAATCCCCCCCAAAAAAAAATATTTATGCATTTGTGTCTTATTGTCTGCTTCTCTACATCATTATTTCTTTTTTTTTTTTTTAAATAAAAGTTTTAAAAAGAAAAGCTAACCTCAATTGCACGATGCTTCTTTTTCATATCACGATGAAGATGCTTCTCCTACTCGATGCCAATTATACAAGACATGGATGAGCAGAAGTGGATGGGGGGACGTTAATAAAAAAATTGATTTCAGTGTGGAAATTCTACGTTCATGAAGACCCATATCCGAATGAAGTCAAAGTGAGCCTGAATCAAGTCACCTTGAGTACATTGCGCGCTCTTGCCAAGACTGCCGTGAATTTCTTATCGTGTTCACTCTATTAGGTGGCTAGTTGGCCACTAAAAAAATTCTGGAAACTTCCCACCACACCAAAACCAAATTTCTTCGTACCTGTGAATGATTTAGCTCGTGCTTTCTGACTACTTTTATTGCCACTTTCTCTTGAGTTAGGGTATCAATTGCTTTGTATACGTTACTGAATGCACCGCTTTTAAAAGATAATAAATTAATAAATCAATGAATGATTATTTATATCTGAACCGAATTATTTGATTGATTGACTATCACATACTCTCCCATTTTATTTAATATACGATAACGTTCCAAACCGGGATATGTAGGCAATTTATTCCTTTGCTCTCGTTCCTCAGCTACGATTTGTTGTATTGCAGAAGAATTATCTACCCTTGATTTAATTTCAGGGTAGGCGCGAAAATTTTCTACCTCAACAGGAGACTTTGGATATCGGTCATTATTACCATAATTGTTATCCGGAATTACGTGTTTGTTTGCCTGTTTTCCATGGCGAATAAAGTTTTTCAATTGTTCAATCATCGGCATTGTAAATCTGAAAAAGCTTCAAATGAAACGGAAAAGAAATAATGTTCTAAATAAATATTTTTGTTTTAAAATAAATAAGTTTTCTAGGAAAGTTTTAAGTACTGATCCTTGTACTAATATTCTTAATTCAGGAAAAAAGAAAAAAAAAACAGAAAATACTAACAATATTTCGTGATGCTACTTTTAATAAGCACACTTTATCTATTTAAAATAAATAAAGTTTAGTTTAATATGGTCAAGAAAAAAAACGTCAGTGTGCAGGGGAAAAAAAAAGACATTCAAGTTTATACGTAAAGTGATGTAATAAATGATGAGACAAATTTGACGTGAGATCATCATTTGTGAAATGTCATATTCTAAATTTAATTAGGACCAAAAAGTTTTTTTTTTTTAATTACCGGATATTTGTCCGTATCAATCAAGATCTCCTTTTCCAAGTAACACAAGGAGTCAGGCTAATAATACAGTCGGGGAAATATCCATAAAAAAAAAAATTGGTACTACAAATTGTTTTTCCTTTGTGAAAAAAGTTTCATGCATGAAAATTTTGATGTCATATCATATGTTTGAATACAAATTGCTAAACGTATGTGGCGTCAAGCATCCGACTAGGCCACAACTTCTTGATATGAATTTAAATTGTCATGAATATATATAGCTAATAAGAGAATAAAACAACAATTCATTCGGTAAATTCGGTAAATTCCGTAATTTTAGTTTTGGTATTATTTTATGGTTCTTTTAAATCAGATGATAAGACATTTTTCTGTTGTCCAAATTTATTTTTCTTTTTTTATCCAAGGTTTCATTTTTTTCAGATTCAGATAAGATTTCGGAAGAGGATCTGCCAGCGCTCATCCATAATTTAAAATGTTTCTAGATTTGGTCATAAATTTTCAAAGTTTGTCTTGTGAACAAACAACCGCACATCATAAATGAAAAAGTCGTAATATTTATAAATCAAAATATTTGGTTAATCATGTGATCTTAATATTCCAAATGTTGAAACGCGTCTATTAATCCTATTAATATTATTTTGATTATAAAATGTGCTGAAATAGATAGACCCTTGCGAATAAAAGGCTAAGTTCAGGTTCTTTTTCTACAGGTAATTTTTGACATTTTATTAGTATGCTTTGTTCGAAGTGATAAAAGGACTAACTGATGAAATTTTTGTAACGAGCAATAAACACTGCATGATCGCATCACGAAATTCTCGGGAATTATTTTGCCCTCTTCATGTTCGTGATGATCAAAGTGAAAATCGTTGGTACTTTTCTCATCCCCTGAATACTTTATCCATCGGGATTCGGTAATCATGATCGAATCGAGTTAACTGATATTCCTCGCGTTTCTATCAAAAACGGTAAGTTTAATATGAATTGGTTGAATATTTGGTTAGACTGATCTTCAACTGACTATGGAACTACTATGATGAAAAGATAACGTTTCTTCTTTATTTTTAGCTTGCAGAACTAATTTTGTGACAAAACGAAACTAATCATGCACACTGTTTGACAAATATTATATTTACTAATATTTAAGAAATGTTATGTGCTACAAATCTTTTTTAAGTGACACCAATCTTGTGCATGCGATCGATGATTTTACCTAACAAAGTTTCAAATTATATATTTCTATAATTATGTATTATGCTTTGTATTTTATTTTAAAACTCATTAATTATTATAAAATATATGATTTACCAAATTGAAATAATAATAAATTTGCAAATTATTTTTATCTTTCAAAAAATGAACAATACTGAAAATTATTTTATATTAAACATATTTATAATGAAATAATATTCTTTTTAGAGGTCCGAATCGGTCAAAAATTTTGTATTCAGTCAATCCATCGTCATAAAATTTATTCAATCGATTATTCAAATTAATCGTTAATTAATGACGATTAGGGGAGTGCCAGAAAAGACGTCATTTAATTTTTAGGATTTCAGACCCCCCCCCCCCCCCGTCATCGTGTATATTGATCACATGAAATATTAAATGGGATTCATGATTTTGTGGTGGTAAAAAGTAAATTTTGTATGTGATAAAAGTAAATTCTGTGAAATTTGTGATTTGGCCGGAATTAAGCAAGGTTGGCCAGCATTACGATTCGTAAATTCTGGCCAAATTTAGTGTCTGCCGGAATTATAATGATTTCAAATTCTAATTAGACCAAAAATTGAAATTTTTATAGCCAAATTTTGTGATTTTTTTCGGATTATTATAAAACATTATAATGATAGTTTAATAAATAAAACAATTAAAGTAAAATTAAAATAAATAATAAAAATTTTTGTATATTTTTTTTGTTTATGAATTTATTTTTTTCTTTTTCTTATTATAAATCATCTATTTATAAAAAATTATCATTGTTTATAATTTATTATTACTAGGTAATAGAAATCATTTGCAAGTCTAAAATGTAAAAAATACAACCTATTATAACTTTTATTTGATAAAGTAATTCATAATAAATTAACAATAAAATAAATATGTACTAATAAACATCAACTCAAACAAAAAGTAAAAGAATTAATAGACATCTTGTATTAATATATCTAGATTGTAAATAGTTTTAATTACACTCTAAACTAATTAAGTTTTTTTAGTAAATAATAATAAAAATTATTACATATTATTATAACCTATATTTATCACTTATATTATATTTCTCTTGTGTTTTAATTTTACTATTTATTTTAGAAACTTAAAATTTTTTACTTATTATTACAAATTATTTATCATATAAATAACTTTTATACTATCTATAATTTTGGCTAGAATTATAAACTCAACATAAATTATGAATACTGGTAATCATTATCAATAATAATAAATAGCAAATTCTAATAATAGTTATTATTAATAATAATACTTTTATATTTCTAAAATTTTATAATATTACTAATATTGCTCTTATTATAAATAATAAAATATTCAATTAAATAATAAATAACAATAATAATCTATACTAAAAAGCTTAAAATATAATTACTATTAATTAATATCTTTATAATAATTAATATTTATTTATAAATTAAAGTTTTTTAATATAATATATATTTTATTTTATTATTATTATTATTACTTATTTATTTAAATTATAAAGAATATATATATTATACTGAAGGATATTAGTATTCTTTCTTTATTCATATGATAAGCTTATATTAAATTATACAATAATCATTATATTAATATTATAATATATAAATAAATTAAGCTTTTAAAATTCTTATAAACCTCTTTTCGTATACATTTTTTTTATTTTTTATTTTCTAAAAATATTCTTTTTATACTTTATTTTCCTTTTTAAATTCTATAGCTTTTATAATAAATATATATAATTTTATATTTTTGACTAATTTACTAACTTAATTTAATTTTATATTTAAATAAAAAATTTATCTTTTTAATATAATAATAATAAAATTGAGAATTTCTTAACTCTTTTACCATTAAATAAAATAGAAAATGATTTTTTATCAGAAAATAGTAATTTTATAATAAATCTAATAGTAGTGATTTAAAGAATTCTATATTAGACAAATATTTATTTTTTTAAAGTATTTAAACAATATTTAAAATATTATTCTATTCAATTAAAATTTAAAATAAAATCATTTAAGCTGAAAGAGAAAGAGGTATTATTATAAGACACTCTTTATAGTAATTTATATTGTCAAATATTATAATAATATAATATATAATATAATATAATTATTCAATTTTTTTTTCTAAATTTTTTTATAATAATTAAATTATTATAATTAAAATACTAAATATATTAAAATTAAGCTAAATTTAAATACTTTACAATAGATATTTCACATAATTTAAATGAATTTTTAATTAATTTGAATGATTTCTACATAATTTTTAACTATTCAGCTAGTTTTGAATATGATAATCTTTTAATATAATTTAAGAATATAGTTTTATAAATTTTATCTATCATCTATTAATTATATAGTATATGACTTTTTTAATTAATTTTATTAGTATGTATATAATAAAAATAAAATATAATATAATATAAAATAAAATTATCTATACCTTAAATTTAAAACTTTTATTAATTACAATATTTAATAGTTATAATTTTGATATTAAGCTATTAAAAATAACTGTTATATTTGTATTTTTTATAGCAAATTGATTTTTAATTGAATTAATTATATATATATATAATGAATTAAAAATTAAAATAAACACAGATTATTTAATAAAGATCATTTAATCTATATATTTTCAATTTACTATAGCATTTTATTTTTATTAATCTAACTTTTTTATTTACATAAATAAATATACCTTTAAAAAAGTTTTTTAAGGTATATTTTTTAATTTAAAAACAATAACTAAGGATAAATTTATTCTATTAACTATATATCTAAAAACTAAAGTAAAATTTTTTTTATTATTTATAATTCTAATGCTAATTGTATAAATATCATATTTTCAATTATTATTAGATTAGGTATATCAAAAATAAGAGAAGTTTCATCTATATTTCTAAAGGATAATTATATTAATTATATTTATTTGAAATATAATTTAAAAAATTTGTTTTTCTGGATTTTTCAGGTAAATATTATGTGATAATTATATAATATCAATTGGTAAATTATATTAATTTAAAAACTATTAAACTATTTATTTAAAAATTTAAATATTTATATATCTGATAAGTTTAAAGATTTTATTTTATAAAAGTAATAATGCTTTTATAATTATTAATAATTATATTATAGAATTTTGTAATTATTATTGCTTTATAATCCAATTAATTAAAATATCTTCTAATTGTATAATTTTCTTTTATATAATTTAAATATTTTTAAAAATACATTAATTAAATCTTTTTTTTGTTTATCCAATCTTTTTAATTATTTTGATTAAATATTAAATTTTTATTTTCTTAGAAATACCAATGTCTTTTTATTTTAAAAATTATTTAAGTATTATAAACAATTTTTAAATATTAGATTT